GTGTGCCACAGGTACTGGTGGGGAGATCATAACGATAGAAAGAAATAAAGTTCAGTTTTGATCGAAAATATAACAGCAATTTTTTATTTAATTGGTAGGCATTAGGCAGTGATCATAAACTGTGGGCGAAGTGAAAACTGCTGGATTATACCTAGAAATTGTATAAAAATTGTTGTATACGACTGCACACCGAGTCTGTATCATTTTTTCCACTTGATATAATATTGGTTTTGCGAATTTTTTTTACTTATCATAGTTAATCTCATATTTAGAAAACTAGAAAGAGAACTTGGAAAAATTGAATTTTTAGCTGAGCTGTGATTCTGCTTCACTGTGGTTGGAAGAAATGTCAGATTCTGGCACATAATTTTTTCTTTCCAGACTTCTGAAAATTGGTAATTCTGAATAAACTACAAAATTTTTTTGGTCATTTTATACTATGTTTCCTTGAGTTTTTCAAAATGCTAATTTAGTCTTGAACTGCAAAACAGCAATAGTTGCATGAGAAAAAAAAAAAAAACAAGTTTTTGGGAGCAAGTTTCAAAAAAAAAACTTTATTAGGAATTCTGGAGTTCTAAAATTTTTTTCAGTAGTCTAATTATGTAGTAAAAATTTAGTTTTTTTTATTTCTTAGCAGATTCTGAGGTGCCTTGCTGCGGGGTACTTTGTGTTTTTCGTTTTATGATCGTCGCAACAGGCGACATCCGCATTGCTGGAAGACTGTGTTACACGCCTTTCAAATTACAACTGAAACCACTGAAATCTTCGCTGCCTGTCCTATTTTCTGTTTTGTATTATGTGAACTGTCAAGGCTTTACTTTTAACATCTTATAGGCAAAGGATTCCATACAGAAAAAGCTCCATTTAAAAAGTTGAGAAAAGTATTATTTGCATCATGGTTTTTAATTGCTTTTTCTAATGTAACCATCGTTGTTTTGCTTTTTTTTAAAACCGGAAGTTGCACACTGTTAAGTGAAAGGAAAGGCGAAAATTTAAGCATTGTCAAGAATCGGCAATATTACGAGTTCTGGAAGCAGAGCATTCAAGGTCAAAACTTGGAATCTTTTCATCTTCTGTAAAGAAAAATTAGCTGTTGATTTAAAATCTACTTTTTCAGTTTTGCTGTTCTGTTTTTGTGGCTTCTGGACTAGAGCTTGATTAACAGCTGGATGTTCAAGAGTTGAAAAACCAAGTGAAGGATTGTTCTATTTGGCTTGGAATTGCTTGTATAAAATTTTACTCAAACCATGTTAAGCAAAAACTTGAATTAGTTTCTGAGTATCGTAGCAAAAATTTAAACTTTAAGATTTGACGTATACTTTGCGAAAGTAAAAGTCATTTAGTTTTATCCAGATTTTGATTGTACAGTGCGTATGCTTGTTTAACAGCGTTTTTTAACTGTTTGAAATCACAGAAATTTTTTGAACTTGTAACTTTATTAACATATTAAGGAACACATAAATGTTTATTCAAATTGATTGAAATTATGAAACAATGAAGTATTTGCTCGATTATTTTGCCAAAAATGCAAACGCTTTATAATGACCGGAGAAACGGATGAATGAGACGGAAACAAATTTAAAACGTGGGTGTTAAAAAATGAAGAAATAAACATGTTCAAAAACACCTACACGTTTATACAAAAGGAAAAAATGACGAGAACTTTACATGAAGAAAATTAAAGGATAAGAAAATTTGCTCACTTTTTGTTGATTGTTTTAGAAGTCACGAAAGTGTGCCGTGACTGCTGAACAGTAATTAAATGTCATGCTTTTTTTTTTTACTTCTGAAGTGACAGTTTTTACAGTGGTTCAACTGTTCGATTGTACGACATGTTCCAGTAGACCTGTAGTGAAAACAGTCTTCTAGAATTTCATTTGCTGGTTTGTCGAGATTCAAAGGAATGTGGAACGGCGCATTATAATTAGTTTCCTGTTGCAGAAATGAGTTGTTTTCTTTTCTAAGACAGTGGAAAGTTGAGCCTAATTAGCTGTCACTTAAACAGGCCAAGGAATATGGACGAATTGGGCATCATAAGTCAGAAATTTTTTAACCAAAAATTACAGTTTATAGATCATATTTTTTATGGTAATAACTACCAATGCACTGGTTGCACTTTCAAAATGTAATGACGTCCAAGAAGTTTGAGAGGAATAAAAATAAAGCTTGGTAGATTAGTAGATTCCTATCGTTAGCAGAGATTAATTTTTTAGACTGCTTTAAAATACCACCATTCCGTTTTGGATTATTGGCGGTTTTCTGCTGATGTTCTTTTTATCTGATCGTATAAACAATTTTTTCATTTTAAAATTACTTTCTGCTCTTTTTTTCTTTGCTTAATTGTTTCATTAAACGAGTTTTACCAAATAACTTTTACTACACTTTGTTAAGGGAATCATGAAGCTCTGGTTTACTTAACCAATGTTCAATTGAGATAATGAAATAAAACTGAAGTTTCTGGAGCATTAAGGCAATTTTTTACATCAAATGTTGTTCCTACTATCGGCGTTCCTAATGCTGTTGACGATGATACTGCTGATAAGCTACTGCAAATTTGTTGTATGTTTTAGAAACAGGAGAACATGTGACATCAGGTTTTTTCAGATATTATTCAAAGAAAAATTATTGAGAAATTCGTTTTATCCTACTCTTTCTTAATGTAATATCATAATATCTTACTGCACAAATATACATGCATTACATATGTATTTATACAGACACTAGGAAAAATATTTTAGACGTAAACTGCTGAGCAAAAAAAACTCAAAGAAAGTGAGCAGTAAGAATATAGAACGTTGCACATCAGTTGTCAGATAGAAGTTTTCATGAGACTTTTATAGCGGCACAGAAACATATTAGGGATGGACGGGTTAAAATGGCGATTTTTTGAGAGCCGTCTTTTGGTAGCCGTTCTACACGGCTATTTGTTTCTAATAATTTTTTGGATGTTTCTACGTGCAACGTTCTTCTGGAACAGCTGATAACTTGGTCTAAATTGTTTTATGTGATTAATGGGACATTTGAATTTTTTTTGTACTCTTTTTTTTTTTTGGAGATTTGTTGTATGAATAAAAAACTGGCATAATGATTAGGGGCCATACAAAGAAAAAAAAATTACGTTTAATTAAAGAGACATTCCACTTAGATAACACATCTGCACTGTGTAAAAATATTTGTTTTATTGTTTTACTTATTGTTTTTTTTTTTTTTTTTGCTGAAAGATATCCAAAACTGGTGAACTACTAATGATTATCACTTTGATAATCATCGTTTTTCACGAGTTTGCTTGGCATCATCTTAGTTGGTGTTATCTTCTGTCGGAGTTTTTGTAAAAATTAAGATATGCAAAGTTGGGAAAGAAGATTTGTGTTGATACCAAAATGTTTTAAACATCATTAATGTACTTCTAACAAGCATAAAATAATGCTGAAAAACACTGTCAATAGTAAGTTTGAAAGTGGTTCGCTTGACCGTCAGAAATGCAATAAATGACCAGACTATACAGGTTGAACACATTTTGGAAAGACGGTATCATGGCGCTAAGTAAGTTGATTGATCAAACACAAATTCCATTATTCGATCCAAGTGACGTTAAATTGTCAAGAAAGAATGCTAGAAATTTTTCTGCAGATGCAGTTGTCTTAAAAAGATTGAATTTGAAGCTTAAAGAGCTTACCGTAATGTTTTCACAGGTGCCAAATGCGCGGTTCATTAGAACAGTGTAATAAAAAAAAGTGGAAAAAAAAACGCCACGTAAAAGGGCAATAAAAAGTTGTTAACGAAAATTGGGGTTTCACGGTAATTCACCATCGTTTTTCATGTATAAAGCAGATAATCCAGTTTAGTGGCGTTCGTTGTAAAAATAATGGCCAACCAATGTTGAGAGAAAAAACAAATAAATAAATGAACAAAAACTTGAATCAAATGTTTCGAAAGCCGTTTTTTTGCTGAAGGAAAAATTGTTTTCAGAACAACAATAAAAAAAAAAAGAGAAAGAAAAAGAAAAAATTTGTCTTTTGAAGAAAAACAAGTGATAAGAAAAGCTTTTTTTAATTTACATTTTTTTGCAAATATTTTTTCTGCTCTATAAATGACGTATTCTGATCTGCCGTAAAACATGCACCACAAAAAAAAGAAAAAAAAAAACTGGGAATTTATCTTTATGCATATACTGTTACGGTGCTATTACATTGACAGTAATTCGTAACTGATTTACTACATCAAAGCTCCTACCGATGTAACTGAGATACTAAAGTGTAATGTTCTGATTCGACAAGTTTAAAACAACCTTATCTGTCAGACTTTCAGTAACTAATAAAAAAAAAACATTAGACATAAGAGGCAAAGAAATCTAAAGTCAAATTATCACAGCTTAATTTGACATTTCGTAGCGACCTCGGGTCACACAATATTTTCAAAAAATGCGGTCACAGAATGCCGCTAATTACTGATTTTTCTAAAATTTTTTAAAAAATTCATGACAAAAATTAAGAAGACGAATTTCTTACTGATTATTTAAAAGAAAAAAATTATAAACCCAAATTATTTAAATACAAAAGAAAGTAAAAGCTGTGGGAAATCTTCAAAACAGTAGGAAAAAATATATAATTTAAAAAATTGAAAACTGATCAAAAAACGACGAAAAGCGTAAAAAAGTGTCAGTTTGTCGTAAAAAAAAAACCAGCGGTGTAGAACGAAAAATTCGGATGACAGACATCGCCAGCGGCTACGAGCGGGCGAAAGAAATAACAATACGATGGCTAGAATCTGAAAAACAATTGAAAAACAATAGACTGAAGACAGGAATTTGCCTACTAAGTTAGTTATCTAACTGTGGGAGGGCTTTTCAGATGCACAGACACGCTATATAATGATTCCCAAAACCTTCGCAAACCACACTTCAATAATTTCTTGAAGATTGCTGAACATCTCTTCATGTACCATTTCTACAACTTTTTCTCTCTCCCTTCCGCCAGCCTTATTTTTTTTTTGACAATTTTTATTTATACAGTAGTAAGTTGTTGCTAAATGATTACTCTCGCTAGAATTTTAGCATTTTAGTAAATTCTGTTATAAAAATCTGCCATTTTAAATTTCTTGAAATACTTTTCTACAATGGTTGTTACGCCATAATGAAAATTTTTTGAAAAAAGAGATAATTCCAAACCAACTCTTTACTTGTCTCAGTTACAGAGTCGAAAGATAGAAAAGGTAATGCTTATTAAATTGCACTTAACTTAATTGTAATCGAAGGAACAATGTAGCTTTCACTATTTATTATCATCTTCACTCTTAATCTAGTAAATTAGGGTTAATATTGCGACAAACTTTGTGTCATTAAACAAACGAACTTCAGTGTCTGTTAAAATTGTGATTAGCGAGGAGTTTTGTGAATAAGTGACCAAAAGCGGTACTGTAAACTAAATATTTATAGGAATAAATTCAAGTGATGTTGTTGCGATTAGCGATTCTAGGAGCCCTAGTGGCGGTAACGAACGCCCAGCTTGGCTGCATGTGCTGTTGTGTGCCAACGCTTCAGCTACCAAATCTATTTGGAAACCTTTGTTGCCCACCTTCATCCGGATGCTGTGCCCCGGCAGCACCTCCACCACCACCACCACCACCAGCACCAGTATGCTGTC